TTTGAATAATGAAAAATTATAACCAAGGAAAAGAATAGTTCAGTTTCGGATTTAACAAATATTTGTTTCCAAAGTCCAGCATCTCCAATATTTTCTTTTGAGGCCCATGCACTTAACATCTGATATTGAAACGACAAAAATCAAATTGTAATTTTGTTGAGTGATTTAATTCTTAAATGAATAACACGGGAAACTACAGTAAATTATGCAGCAAAAAGAACAAGAAATTTATTTGGTAAGAATCACTGTTTTAATAGTTATTTCAGGGTGTCTACTCAATCCAAGGAATCAAATTCTCTGAGTTTTCCAGGTTTTTCCAGGTCGGATGAAAAAAATTCCAGTTGCATACAAATTATACACATTATTATTTTATCTATTTATCCATCTGGAATCCCTTTTATGTACTTATTGATTTATGTTATTTTCGATTGTTCAAACTTGGGCGTTGTTACTTATAAGTCGGCACAGCAAAAAAGTTATTGAATATTACAGCAGAACAGATGCACATAGGTTGTTTAATATTAATTTGTACAATTTATGTTTAGTAAATGCACCAATAGTGGAGGTACGTTAGTACAATGTACTTCTATAGCGGCTTAGGGAGACTCTATAAGCCACCATAGGAACATATTACACTAAAGTACCTCCACTATTGGTGCATTTATCCTACACATAATTTGCGAAAAGAAATTATATCCATGGGTGTAATACTGTATTTGGTTTTTGCAATCACATTAGTTATTCATACAGTAACATGCATTACGTCAATCAATATTACATTCTTTTTTGGTATTTTTGTTAATTCAAGAATATAAATACAAGTTAGAAACCTGACTATACTATTTCGGTAAAACGATATATCAAAATTTGATAACAATATGCTTTCAAAAATAAAATATCATTTTGATAATATGTTTGAGTCCAACACTGTTTGGAAGATCAAGACAGAATAAATCATGGTTTCACATGTCTAAAATCTCTTAAGGTCCGTTTAGACTATCTGATTTCTTGGTCTGATTTTGACCACCGCCATAATGAAAAATCTGCTCGAATTTACTTTCGACACACTTTGTCGAACCCCCCTGTTTGCTGGTGTTCACACTGCTTGCACATGTCGAAAGAACTGTCAATTTAGATTTCAAAACAAAACTGTATCAGGAATCAAAAGTAAATACTTCCATCATGAATTACCGGAAAATTGCTCTAGTTTCGGCAGACGTATTTGCTTTTATTATTTTAAATAAAATGAGAAAAAGAAGGTGAACTTTGTGGAGTAGGAAATGGTTGCTCAGGAGGAACTCCGGCAGGGATCTGGCTCAACTTTTCCATCAAGAGCTGCGATATGAAGATGAAAATGGATTTCAAAACTTCGCCAGGATGTCGATACGAGTTCTCACTAGATATACATAATTCCTTGAGTTCTGAAAATTTCTGTTAATAACTCAATTCTGCAAGGTCTTCAAACCTTCTGACGTCCCTGAAGTTTTGTTTCTGTTCTCCGGTAAAATTTCTTTAAAGATCAACAATCTTTCCTGACAATCTGCAAATGTCTCGGTAGTTCTACAGATTTCTTTGAAGTTCTGTGTGTTCTTCAGAAGTTCTGCAAATTTTCCTAAAAATCTACAAAGTTCCTGAATCCCAGAAGATTTAAGATCCTTGAAGATCAACAATTATCTCTGATGTTCACAAAATTTCTAATAATCTACAAACTTCTCGAAAGTTCTGTAATTTTCTCTGCAGATTTTCATGATTCAATGAATATCTGCAAAGATCTCTGAACATCTATACAATTTTCTAAAGAATTAAAAGATTATCTAGAAATTTTTGAGCTTTCCGGAAGTTTTAGGAATTATTCTGAAGTTTTTCTAATTTTTCTGAAGCTGTGCAAATATCTCTAAAGATCAGCGAATTTACCTGAAGTTCTGTAAATGTCTTTCAAAATCCAAGAACCGCAGTAAAATTCTGAAAATTTATTGAAACATCTGCTAATTTTTGAGTAGGAACTTTTCTGAAGTTCCTAAAATTTATTTCAAATTCTGTAAAGTTTTTTGAAGTACTGTATTTCTGCTCCAAAGATCTACGAACTGCCCTGAAGTTCAATAAATTTTACAGTAGATCTCCGAACTTTTCTAAAGTTCTTTAAATTTCTTTGTGGGTTATTTATTTAAAGATCGGCGAACTTTCCCGAAGATCTGTGAGTTTTGCTGAAGTTTTGCAAATTTTTCTAAAAACGTACGAACTTTCTGACATTCTACAGATTTCTCTTAAGGTCTTCGGACTTCTCTGAAGTTCTTTAGATCTATCTATTTCCGACTTCCATGGAGTTATGCAAAATATTGTACTTTTGTACTTCGCTGCGATTTGTTTTTGGAATTGAGGTGCTTTTCTGACATTTAACGAATTTTTCTGAAGATCTCACATTTGTGTGAAACTATCTGTCAAATTCCTGCAAATATCTTTAAAGTTCTGTAAAGTTGTTTTAAGCTCCGTAGCTCTATTCCCAAGATCTACAAAAAAACTTGAGGCTCAATAAATTTCTCAGTAGATCTGCAAACTTCTCTGATGTTTTGTAAATTCCTCTCGGGTTACCCTGAAGATTTGAAAATTGAAGATTACCTAAAGTTGTCAAAATTTATCTGAAAATATTTGAGCTTCTTAGGAGTTTTAAATGTCTCTCTCAAGATCTACAAATTTTCCTGAAATCGTGTAAATATTTTTTTTTTAATTCGCCGAGCTTCCCTGAAGTTCTGCAATTTTTACTGAAGATCCATTAACATTTCTGAGATTCTTGTGATTTTTTCAGAAGTCCTGTATTTTTTTCAAAGTTCTGTAGCTTTGTTCTGAAGATCTACGAACTTTTCTGATGTTGAACAATGTTTCGAGGATCTCCAAACTTCTGTGAAATACTTTATATTTCACTGTAGATTCTTGGACTTGTCTGAAGTTATGCGAATTTCCCTGAAGATTTGCAAAATTTCGCTTATAGTAATTATTTTTGCATGCTTGAAGTTTTGAAAATTTCTTTGAACATTTATCTGAAGATCTACGACCTCTCTTGGGATTTTGTTTTTATGAATTTCTGTTAATTACTTTTAATTTGTTTGTAGTTCTGTTCTCAAGGTCTACGAACTACCCTGAAGCTCAACAAATTTCTCAGTAGATCTCCGACCCTCTCTGAAGCTCAAAAATTTTTTATGTAGGCCTGCTGTCTGGCATGCTTATTCTTATACAATACATGCTTCGTATGCTTCCTTTTGACGGTTGCCAGTCTCTCTTTTTCGGCTGCTTACTTTTTACGACGATTTTGATCATCCACATACAAATCAGCGAAGAGCGAGCGTGACAAGACTCTCTGAATGAACTTGTCTCGTTCACACACGTTGTCTTAGCTGTCAGATGCTTGTCAAGTTCAGTGTCCTTAAGAAACGTTTCGAGAAACTGAACGAAAAACTTCTTTTGAATTACGAATGAAGTGATAATTGGAAAATTCCCTGAGTGGAACCAAAATTCCCTGAATATTCCAGGTTTTCCCAGAAAAAATAAAATTCCCTGTAAATTCCCGGTTTTCCAGGTTTTTCCAGGTAGTAAACACTCTGTAATTGTGAAATTCTGGTGTTAAAATTTGTTCCTATGGTATGGTTTATTTATTTTCCCGGTTCTTCCATCGAATTCCCGGGTTTTTTCCGGTTACTTTTCAAATTCCCGGATATTTCCTGGTATTCCCAATTTTCCCGGTTCACTGGCCACCCTGTTTATACTACTTATTATTATATTATATTAGGGGCTTTTCAAAGAACATTCTTAGACACAAAAGGGGGAGTGCGTAAGTGTCCAATAATGCATTGTTTGATATTAGAACTCTAACCAGGTGTTGTAAAATGAGTTCCCATTTCTCTTAATATTTTTCAACATAAAAAATCTTCTACTTTCCGAAATGACTCATGCCGTTGATCATATTATTCCTGTTTCCATCATTCGTTCACTCAAATCGATTCGTTAATGATAAATTCAGCAAAGAAAATTTTCGTGGGGTGTAGAATTTCACCATGGGACAATTAGACTTGATGTTGTTTTTAGATACACCCAGAATAAATTACATGTTCTTCTATTTTCATTCAAAAATGTACCTAAAAAAGTACTGTTTTATGAACAAAAGTGAAATACGTCCAAAAATAACATGGGATATGATAAGCGTAAAACGGTAGCGTTGCTAAACTACAACTTGTTGTTTGTGCGAAGAAGCAAGAAATTAATGAAACTTACAGATTTATAAACTTCGTTTATTTTGTGCTCTTGAAATTGCGAAGTTTGATAAGAAAAAGAACTCTACAAGGAAACACCTTAACAGACTAGGCTATCTGAGGCCCCATAAAAAGATGATGCTACATTAATCTATTATTTAATAACCGAGGGAGATACGTTACATTGAAAAAAGTTTCCATGATCAGGCATGGAAAATCATTTACATTCATTTTGGGCATTCATTTGCCTCTTACTTTTTTCATCAACAGAATTCCGTAAAATGATGTATGAAGGTTTTGTAGGTTTTGATATTAGCTACAACTTTTGTAAGTATTTCAAATCTGTATCTCTTATGCATGACGAGCCAGAGCGAACAGAACCAACCATTGATTTTCAGTGAATGTAAATTACATTCACTGAAAAACAAAAACAAGATCTGTCCGCTCTAGTTTGTCATACATAAGAGATATAGATTTTGAATACTCACAAAAAATGTAGCTAATATCAAAACCTACAAAAAGTTCATTTCTCGTTTTACGGAATTTTGTTGATGAAAAAGGTTAGGGGCAAATGAAGGTAAATGATTTTCCATGCCTGTCCATGACCACTTTTTTCTGGTAGTTCAACTTCAACAACAACTTAACCTCATAAGAGAAGTTATCTGAGCTGCGTCTGAAAAAGATTTTTAAATATGAGATGTCCCACAAAAAGAAACCTGAACAGTAGGGAAATATCAACAGAAACAATCGAATACTCACTGTAATCCTTGCTAAAGCATGCTATATCAGGTAAATTTGGTTCAAGGTGCTCCCTAAAGTACTCCATGGCCATCGTCGACAGGTCAAACAGCTCGTCGGTCACCTTGAAGGGTCGGGCCAGCGTCGGTGTGCTCCGAATGTAATTTAGCACCGAATACACCTCGTCCAGTATCTGCAAAAAGAAAAAGAAAAAACACCGAAATCAAACTTCCACTCAATGACTATAAAGGAAGCATCTCACTCTGCACAGAACAAAAACATCCCAAAATGACATCCTGTCCATGGGGCATTGGGGCATGGACAAGGCAGGAAACAAAAAAAATAAGAAGACTAGAACTACTAATGAAAAGACAAAGACCGGGAACGTGTGCCCTAACGATTAGAATATTAAATAAATCATCGTATGATATATGAACAATGGCCACCATCATCACCCCTGTATTTATGCACCACCGCTTCGATTCGCAACAGCAGCTGTGTTGTAGCATCACAAAAAGAAGAGGTGTTGGCACAGACAAGCTATTCTAAAGCTTTTCTTCTCCGTGAACAATAGCAAAGCTGGGGAGTCTAATACCGCAGCGATAAATGTGATAAGGAGTGAACAAAAAAAAAATCCCGGGTAGAACTGAATCCCAGCAGGTTATTTTCATATTCTCGACATCTGCGGTATGATTTCCGTGGGAGCCGAGATCCTTGAGTTGATCTCAGTTCCTTTTTCTCTCTCGGGCACCACCGTGCTAAGCTAAATAATAAATCAAGAGGGGAGTAATGCAACCGGAATTATGTAGCACCACCAGCAGTGGTGAACCCACACAACGATATATTCCTTTCATTATCATCCGAAATGGCCAACGACTGGACGGACAGCATTCGGGAGTAGGTGGGTAGATTAAACCGACACACCGGACAATGGAATAGTTCAAGGAGAAAACTGAAAAGTAGATTTCTTTCTTTTTCCAGCGTCATCCCATTTAAATGGCCAACGGGTGCACAAGTGAAACTCGTGTGACGAGACGATGCTCGATAGGTGGAATAAATTTCCTTTGTATGCTGAGAAGCTGTGCGCGATATGCCCGCGGGTTGGACTTGGTTTTCTAGATTGAATAAGTAATGCCGGGAATGGTGGGAAGAGTGGAAATCCGATAAATGTAAAATGGGAAAAATATTGAATTAAAACAGAATAATCATGCAAATAAAGTTAGCTTACTTTTCACTCATCGTACATGAAATTCTAATGAAACATTTTCGGGTTTCTCACAATCTTAAACATAAGTGCCCCCATTTACTCTCTCTGCGGAACCAATTAATACAAATAATCTGCATAATTATTCGGTAAGTGATGTAAAACAACCGACTAATCTGTACTGACCGGATCAACAAGCAACATGGCTGTTTAAGCCCGTTTCAGCCACTGTACAACCCTCCTACAATATAGAGAACAGATCTTCGACTAGTTTTGATTGAGTGGAAAATACTGTTTGATTGCTGCTTTCCCCACAGGCTGCCACGGTCAAGCCACTTCTCGCATCAAGCATGACTTGAACCCGCCCGTGACTGTCCGATCCTGGCCATGGGAAAAGAGAAGACTCACACCGAATCGTACAGTCCGAGTGCAAATCTACCGAGAAACTGGAAGGAGAAAATTCCTTCATTGTTATTTAAGCGCCGATCTCCTTCTCCTCCGTTTCCGCTAAACATTCCTTCCGGCTGGGCTCATCTTTGCGCTCGCCCCCCCCCCCCCCCCCCCAACGCCACTCTGTTTTACTACAAACAGATGAGATTAAATTTTTTGTGTTACTTTCCTATCATCGGTTGATGCTGAAAGGGCAAATAATCTCGATGATTGTTTTCTCATTCCATTCCTGGCCCAGCCAGCCAAGCCGCTTCTTGGATTGAAGCTTTTTCACTGATTGAATTTGGTTTCTTTATCTTATTGTTTAGGCCCGGGAGGGTCAAAGACAGTGTAAATCCAGCTTCAAGGGGAATGGGGAGAATATAAAACTGAGAAGTCCCAGGAAAGGATTGATAATTGGAACCAGGGTTGCTTCCACTCATTTCACTTTTGTTTTTCCCCGGATTATACAAATATTTAACGTGATACCTAATGGTATTTGAGCAGTTCCACGCGAAATGACGAATCGGAAAAACTCGACCTTCCATGATTTGTTTAAAACTTTGCAAAATTGTCTGTTACATTTTTAACGAAAATTCGGCCATTTTGGAAGTTGTATTTTTTTCTCAAAATGGCGTCAACGCCATTTTTCAATACATTGTAGCACGAAAACGTCTCTTCTGATCGAAATGACGTCTAATAAGGTTTTTCTGGGAAGAATATTCCGGGCATTTTCTAAGTAATTTTGAGCAAAAATTCTAATAAAGTGTTACAAACTCATATAGGGGAAATGGATGTAATGTTGGACTAAATGCCCCTAATTTGGGCACATATATAAATTCAGCAATCGACTAAATTTTCAACAGCAACCAAAAATATCCATTGGTACCGTCCCAATGACGCGTTCATTTAGATAAAATTGATAAATAGCAGATTTTTAGCGATGGGCCCAATCTTAGATCCATAGGCCAACATTAGAGCCATTTCCCCTATCTCAAAAAGTATATCTTCAATTTTTATATATCAACCATTCCATAGCAAAACGATATAATGGTGCACAGAATTTCTCAATGATAGTTTTGTTCCTTATTGCAAAATATTAGACCCGTTTTTTTGTCATTAGGGTGACCATTCCCATGTTAGGCAGGTCCAAAAAAGATGTTTTTCTCGATTTTTTTTTTCAAAAATTACTTTATTCAAAAATTTATAACTTTTGAACCACTAAGCCGATTTAAAAGATTAAAATATAGAATGAAAGGTAAATAACCTTCTAAAACCTTCTTCTATAATAATATTGAAAAATGAGATTTTGTATTTTTCTATGGTTTGCATGTTTGGTTTTTTTATAGTTTTGGGTTTTCGCTAGTAACCTCCTTGGGAATGATTTTATTTATGTTTCTTAATTTTATTCAAGGTCCGTTAGAAACATCTTGGCGAGCAGAAATCTCGACTATTGCAACTTAATTTATGTGTTTTTAAAACGGATAGATCTGAGAATTTAGTAGTTAGTGTCATCTTGTGTTCCCCCAAGTTGTTAGCTGCCCCTAGGTGTACCCCCATGTTTGTCTTTTTCATCCGTTTGACGCTTAGTTCGAGATCAAGAGCACATTGCTCTCCAAACCTTGTGTTCTCAATCCCTACTCTGCCATCCATTTGTTACAATTTGTTACCCCTAACCTCGAGATAGACGCGAGTAATCGGCCCCCGCTTTACTAACGTTAGTTTTAAGTAATTTTGTAATCTAAACAATGAATATCGGCTCCGCAAAGCTACGGAAAATGAGCCTGGAAAAATAAACGCGTTATAAAAAAAATCAATATAGTCCCCTTTTAGCACGATACCAGGGCTGGTAGTGCTGATGCGATATAATAGTAGTGACTTTAGTGACTAAATTTACGGAAATAGTGACCAAATAGTGACTTGTAAGTACTAAAGGGCGAACACGAAATTATTGCGACACACTCAACAGAGCATAACTTTTTTACCATTGGGTAAAAATCAACCAAATTTTGCACACTTTCTCATTGATGTGTATTGTGTACATGCTGTCAAACTCGAAGTCGTGTTTTTCGATTCAACGAAAATGGAGGTGAACCAACGCGAGTTGAGAGAACAAATTCTTTCCAAACACCCGGAATTTCCTGACCTGTCGCACCGGCAGTTGGGAAAAATGTTGAACATTCACCATTCAACCGTCTCCAGAGTGTTGAAGCGGTTCCAGGAGCGGTTGACGTTGGACCACGGCAAAGGAGCTGGAAGAAAACCGGGACCGGAGAACAAAAAGACGGAGGGAAAGGTGAAGCGGATGATTAAAGCAAATCCCAACGTCTCAAGCCGTGATTTGGCTAAAAAGATCGGCATGTCGCAGAGCTACGTCCAGAATGCAAAGAAGAGAGCTGGCCTACATACATACAAGGTACAGAACTTCCCAAGCCGCGATGAGTGGCAACAATCGACGGCTAAAACTCGGGCACGGAAGCTCTACGAGAAGATGCTGACAAAATATGGCTGCTGTGTGATGGACGACGAAAAGCCGATTTTAAGCAAATTCCGGGGTTGGAGTTTTTCACCGGCAAGAGCAAGTTCAATGTGGACGACAAATTTAAGAAGAAGAAAATGTCGAAGTTCGCCTCCAAATATCACATTTGGCAAGCCATCTGCTCTTGCGGACTGAGGAGTGAGCCTTTCGTGGCAAAGGGCACAGTAAATGGCGTGATCTACAAATCTGAGTGTCTCGAGAAGCGCCTTTTGCCGTTCTTGCAGCAGCACGACGAAGCTCCGCTATTTTGGCCAGATTTGGCATCATGCCACTATTCTAAAAGTGTCCTGGAGTGGTATGAGGCCAATTCTGTCCATTTTGTTCCAAAGGACATGAATCCGCCTAACTGTCCGGAGCTGCGCCCGGTGGAGCAGTACTGGGCAATAATGAAGCGGGAACTTCGGAAGAGCAAGAAGACAGTCAAAGACGAGAAGGACATGTTAAGAAAATGAAAAAAAAACTGAGAAACTGGTACCGGATGACACTGTAAAGACTTTGATGGAGGGCATCAAGCGAAAATGCGTTCAATTTTACACTCAAGGCTCCATCGATTAACTTTTCTTTTGATTTTTGAAGTAAATATATGTATAAAACTACCCTAAAATTTTGGTTTGATTCTAAACATTATAAGAAAATTGGCATGACATTTTCGGTGTCGCAATAATTTCGTGTTCGCCCTTTAAATAAGTAACCATTTATATTGTAACTTAGAAATTCAATTACGGTTTCATATTGAAATAAACTTTCTATGTTATGGAACTTAAAAACAAATTTCATAAATTTCTCTAATTTAATCGAATCTCACAACGGAATCTCCTGTCAAGAGCATTTGAAGTTATTTGAATAATTTACTTTTATTTACGTTATACATGTTGACTAGCAAATACTAATTCCCATTTTTTATGATCTTGAATTTGATTCTGTGTTAGAACTGTTTAAAATTTAATCAAAATTATCTGATAATTCGATTAGAACTTTTCACAGTTCTCTACAATTTTTTAGAATAATTGCCCTTCTCTTA